GTCACCATTGGGTTTTGCAAGTAACTCGGCCCCACGGTGGGTGCCAAAATGTTTAGGTTATGGGGCTGAGTCACCAAGCTCCTTCACAATTTGCCTTCTTGTCGTCCGGTCTCGCTCCAAGCTCCGTTGTCTTGCTCTTCCGTCTAGGAGGGAACTAGTCAAAGATCCTCCGATGACAAAGTCACTGTACGAACCGTTCTGCAATTCAATAAAACAATAATAAATGTGTAGTAAATGTAACCTATCTACCACTTACCTTTGACCTGTATTTATAGTTTTCGCTATGGGCTTGGGATTAGTGACAAGTTAATCACGGCCCAATTCCAGCCAATGGCTCTAATCGTTATTTACCTTAATCATGGTCTTAATGACCCAGAGAACCTGTTGGCCGGTCTTAGTTGCCGCCCGGTTAGATTGATTCAGCGATGCTTTCTTTGGACCGTCCGGTCCGTATGGTACAGGTTCTAAACTTGCTTCATCTAAAATAATTATATGAATCGAATATGAAATTTTCATCGATTATATTCCTCTAAGATAAAGTCTCTAACCTTATTCTTCTTCCTCCTTCTCGCAAACTCAATATCCTTAAAGAATGTGACAGTTCCCATTGCCTTTAATTTGAGATCATAAAATTTATAGCCCCTGGATCTTTTATACAACCAATAAAGTAGTTGCTCATTGTTCGGGGGTCTAATTTCTTTTCATTTAGCTTATAAGGCCTGGTTTCAGTTGGACATCCTCGTACACTAAAGTGTTTTAGACTAGGCTTTAGCTCGACCCAAAGCTCATGAGGTATTGTGGCAATTGCCTTGATTATCACTTTATTTAAAATATAAGTTGTAGCCTCTAGTTCCTTTCCCCATAGTGACTTTGGCAAGGTGGAATGACATATCATACTTCTTACCATATCTTTAAGAGTCTGGATACCATTCATGCTAGGTGAATCCGACATAATGTACTATAGGAAAATTCACATTCCTCTAGGTACTTAACAAAAGACTTTGGATGTTGTTCACCTGATCCATCATATTTGTCATAGTATTCACAACCACAATCAAACTTGACATTTTTAATCCTTTTGTTAAGTTGATTCTCAACTTCAGCCTTAAATGACTTGAATGCATCAAGAGATTTAGATTTTTCATGTATAAGATATAGGTTTGCATATATAAAGTAATTATCTATTAATGATATAAAATATTGTTGACAATTTCATGAAAGTGTAGTAAATGACCCACAAATATTTATATGTATCAATTATAAGACATCTATAACTCTATATACACTTAATCTCGATGTCTTAGTTTGTTTATCTTTAACACATTCAACACAAACATTGACTTTTGTGAAGTCAATGGAATCCAAGATCCCTAACTTTTTTTATGGTTAGTTTTTCTTTAAAAAAAGTTATTTGTCATTTTTTAATTTTATGAAAATATTTTTTCATTATACCCTTAATTTAATTAACATGAGTAAAAGAAAATTTTATTCATGCAAATGAAAAAATTATAATAGATAACCCCATAAAATTATATTCAAAATAAAAATATTAAATAAGTTATTGGTTTAAGTGAAGAAACTTTAAACGAATATTATAATCAGAACGAAACAGAAAGAATATAGAAAATGTTTGATTAAGTTATTAATTTTGGTTTTTCAGTTTTGATATATTTCTTATAAATTATTTAAAATGGTTCATATCATGTCATGTAATGTGCATTTCAACTTGTTAAGTAATCACTTAACATGCGACATTCATATACGTGTGACGTCATTAAATAATATATAGTGTCAAAGATCATTTTTAAAATCTTACTATTGAAATTATTTTCCTGTGAACTGATATTTGAAGGGATATTAAGAAACATTATAAAGTGAATATAGGATTTAAATTAGGATTAAATATGGAAAAGTTATATAGAGTTTGTGACCATTAATCTTTTATATGATATGATGATATAAAGGCAGTTGTGAGCAAGTTGTGGTAGTTGGGACCAAACTTTTTATTTTCAATCTCTCATATCTTCACTTAGATCTCCTCATCATATTATTCACCTTCACATATCTAAATAATATCTAATTCATCTCTCATATCTTTCTTCTCACTTCTACCACTATTTTTCTATATATCACAATATTATATCTACCAAAATTAACTTTCTAAAGTGGTGCTTCAATAATTTTTGTGTGCTACTTGCTTTAATTCCCTAAGGTCATCATCACCATCATTGGGTTTTTTTCTTTTAGAATATTTCACAAAGGAAGCTTTTTCTTCACAAGGGATGCTACCTAATTTTCAGGTTATCATAGGATGACACGATTTTAAGAAACATTAAAAGGAGGATCAAGTGGTTGGTATTTGTGCATGAATATGGAATAGAACAACATTGATCCTTGCAAAGCAAACCCTAAAATTCAAAGAGAAAATTTACTCTTATACCCTTGCTTTTGAGCTTTGACTATACACGACACACTCTTGTCAAGTTAACCATTTTTAATTTAAAATAATAATCTATTTGTGTTTTCAAATTATAGAAAAATAAAACCATCTGTGCTCAAAAGATGTATATCTATTTCTTCAATGCTTATTGTATATTGATGAGTAGGTCAAATGGCAGTCACAATATCCATATAATGGCTATCTATATATTGAAACCAAAATAGATATTGTCAATTAAATTATAGAGTATATGATGAATGTATAAAATTAATGTATATCATAATGCATTTCTTTTCACTCTATATATGACATTTATTATATTATATTACATTATTAATTATATTATGAGTCTACATTAATAGCTTACCACAATGTTTATACAGGAATTTACTCCTAGTCTTTATTTATTTTTTTATATTAAATGACTATAAAAATAAAACATTCATTATTTTATTAATATGTAAAGAATCCTTCGAATATGATTGGAAGATATATAATACCTATAATGCAACATGTTATTTGTTCCATAAATATATTATGATAAGTATCATATTTTACAATATATATATATATATATATATATATATATATATATATATTATTTAACATATCATCTTATATGTAGATATATTTAAGGCTTAATCAAATTTCAAGTATTTTATAAATTTGACTATTTATAATTGAGTATCTATTAAAATAATTCTTTTTAATTAAGTGTTTAAAATACATTTTCTTTTTTCACTAAAAAATCATTTGACTTCGTTTGATATATTTTAACTTTAAGAAAAATAAAGTCTTTAAAAATGTAATAATAATTTTAAAATTATTTGGAACATATAGGTTTTGGTTATATTAAAACTGTAATTTATACAGAAATAGGCTTAAGTTGTTTGGGCATCATTGTCTATATATTTTTAATAATATAAAAAATGTCATCTAAGTGGTAGAGATATAATTCAACATTATTGCTCCTTTCTTCGTCTTTTTTTCACCACGTCGCTAAACCCGACATCAAACACCGTTCCACTCTCCGTCGCCGTTCTCTCTTCATTGCTATTGCTGCAACATTGAACACTTATTACCCATTTTTTTACCTTTTTCGTTGAGTTTGCATTAAGGTTTGTTGTTCCTAAAGTTCGCATTTTTTTTGCCGACGTTCAGGTCCAAGGTACTACATTTTAGTGTTTTGTTGCTTCTAAAACACATTTTGCATTACATCATCCTACATTGTTGCTCGCGTTTTTAGCTTTCATATTCCTATAGCTTAAAAATTTATATTTAATATGAACTTAAAGAAATTTAATATGTTGTTAATTTTATTTTTTGATGTTAGATATGTTGAAATACTTATTATTTAAAATTGGTTTATTATATGTTTAAATTTTGTTGATTTGAGATTATTGTCGCATTGAGTTGGCCCTAGTTTTTCATTTGAGATTCAATACGGAAATGATTTATTGTTTCCAAATTTTCGGTTGAAAATTTAAGAAGATTAATCACTTTTTAATAGGTTATTAACGTATATATATATATATATATATATATATATTTATATTTATTTATTTTTAATATACATATTCTAAAATTCATGAACATTTGTTAGTTGTATTTTGTATAAATCAATATGCTAGTAAATTTATAAAATTTAAAATATGTTGTTTAAAATTGATATGTACCAAAAAAAACTAAGAAAATTAATAGTGATTTTGAAAGACATCTCTTAAAGGATGCCATAAATCATATCTTCATTCCTCTTAGAAGATTGAATCTTTGTGGCTTTCACATTCTCTTACTATTATTTACTATTATTCATATATGCTGACTTGAATACTCTTGTAGACCAATTGTTAAGTTTATTCACCTCACTAGACGTTCACAGAGATTATTTCCCAAACTAGACCACATTAATGTTAACGTGGAGAATTCCCTTTCTAGACAAACGAACTTTCATAATGATTAAAATTTGATTGTTATGTAATTTTAAATGTATATGAAAAGTATATTCTAACAAATATTCCTAATTTGAGGATATATAAATATCCACATTACCAAAAAGAATAAGTACAAGAAGTCTTAGAGAACTTACCTTCAAAAACTACCTATTAAAGGAGAAAACCAAACACTAAATCCTCCACCAACATTCCATCCTATTTATTGTGAAACTTCAACACTCCTACAATACCTAAACTCCTCGCATTTCCTTAATCTATTTCCAGAAGAAAAAATTGTGATAAATGTCGTTAGTAGCGAGATAACCATTGCTAAATCAAATCAATCTTGTGCTATCCTTTTTAATTACCTTTTTTTCTTTTTTCCATGTCAAGAATTGATCATTGGACTTGTTCGATTGCTCCTCTTTCATTGAGTGTAAAATTAAAATAAAATAAAAATTAGTAAGTTAAATTAATTTAATTTATAAAAATTATCCCATAATTTCTTTAAAACATACTGAAAACACATTTAAAAACGTGTGATTTACAAACTCATGAACGAAAACAAAAAGTATTAATAGAGCGCAAGAATATGGTGAAAAATACTAAGAACGATACTCGAATAAAAGGCCCTAAAATTATGCCAAATCACATCTATAATGAATAACTAACTTACTAATAATATGTATTTAACAAAAGAAATCCTACTATGACCAAAATTTTACTCACTATGTCAACACAACAAAAAATGGATTGATCCAAAAACTACAAAAGGAAAATGCTCTTCAGGTAGCTATGTCATGTACACTTTGGTTTCCCCATACACGATATATGTATTCAGCAGCAGCAGCCACTAACAAGCAGCTGACAACCCAAATTTTGACCAAAGACAAAGAATCTGACCTGTTCCTTTTGCCTTTGTCTCCTTTCAAACCTGGTTCGGAGTGGCTTGGCAAAGCTCGAGATGAGGTCTTCATGAAAGATGAGTACGAGTCAATTTCTGCTTTTGTTAAAGCTGGTTTTAAAGAACTCTTTGCAATCTGGAAATGGCGATCAAACACAATGGCAGCAGATATGTCTTCCCTTAGAGCTACAATTCCAGCTTCCTTGCATAGTCCCTCCAGTTCAGCACCTGTAAACAGTTCTGTGTCTTCTGCTAGCCTTCTGAGGTCAACATCATGACCTGTTTTCATCTTTCGCGTATGAACACAAAGTATCTCGTATCGAGCCTCTAAATCAGGTGGTGGTACATACAGAACCTACCATTCCATAAAAATAGACCAGAGTCAGAGAGGATATTCGATCAACTCTTTTCAACTTGCTGAAATCAGTCTCAATTGCTTGAAGTATATTTTCAACAACAATTTTATCAGTGATTTGTGAAATTCTTCTACTACTGTACATGCACAATCTTTGTACATTTTAACATGTAGAATTCAAGTTACAAGCTGGATCATAAGTATGATAGGGCATTATTTTGCACCTGATCAAAACGCCCAGGACGCATGAGTGCAGCGTCAATTGCATAGGGGCGATTTGTAGCTGCTAAAACAAGAATTCCCTGAAATAAAAAGGATGTGGTTAACAGGCAGAAAAACCCTAAATGCTAATTACCATCTCTTGAATCTAGTTTTATGATTACTTCTTCCTATAGATAAAATAAGAATTTCAGAAATAGAGAAAAAAGATGGCTAAAATATCATTAAAACAAATAGCAAAAGAAGAAAAAGGCACACATACTTTTGCTTCTTCTAAGCCATCAATCTCAGTTAGCAGAGTGGATAAAAGTCTCTCTCCAACTGTAGCACTATTACTTGAACTGTCACCCCTAAAATCAAGGGAAAACTCAATATAATTTTATCCACTAAAAACTATTAAAAAGGGTTCCTGTTCCCATCTTGCAAATCATAGAAACATTTACATCAATGAATTCAACATCAAACTTTAAATGCATGTAACATTTTTAAGCAGAAAATTGACCGAGACAGTTCACTTCATGTGGTCTGATGCAACCCTACTTTACAGAATGCTAAATATTATAACTACCAAGACAAATCATTGAGCCACCGCACTTTAATGTTCAGCATTAAAAGATTTGTGTAGACATTTTCCTTAAAAAAATAAAAACTAAAATCTGATCTTGAAATGCTCAGCTTGGGTAAACTTAAGAATAAAATATAAGAAAGAATGTTTACAGGATGATTCAGCACTCAGATGATTCATCTATTTGAGTCCTTACACCTAGACGATAGATAGGTACCACAAAAACGTTTTAGCTCTCCCAAAGATAGACAAAAAAATATGTTAACCTGTTGTAACAAGTCAAACTATTTTAACACCAACATTTCCTCCAAGCTAGAGCATGATGTACCGAGCTTGGAACATAAAAAGTTGAGTTTGAGGTCCTCTCAAGAATTTAGTAAAAATATTTGCAAAATGAATTGGAGGCTAGCAAATTTCCCAGGATATCGAATTCTGTCAAACTGATAATCACAGTACATTATCATCTGCTTAATTTAAAAAAGTTTCAGCTCTCAAAGGAATTCTCTTTGAGAAATTACAATCCCTCTGATTAAGCTACTTCAATACCTATAAAGTATTTTTAAGCATGGTTATCGAATTGAGATTCCAATGGTGAATTGTTTTTCTTATATTTTGAATCGTGAATTGAATCTTGTTATGAATAGTAAGATACATAACTTGTATAACTTTAAAAGTAAAATATAATAAGAAATAATTAAATAATTAATTTTAACTAAAAAATATTAAAAATTATTTATAAAAGAAATAAAATAAAAAGAAAATATTAAAAAATTAATTTTCCATAAAAATATAATAATACTTATATATTAAATTTTAAGGCATCCAATATCCTTGGTCTGAAAGTAACTGCAAATGCTTCTAAAGTTGACAGATTGTAATGGCAGCATTCCCAATAATAACTATGCCATCAACATACAGAATTACATGCACACTTTTCTCATAAGAATTATGACAACAAAATTACTTGTTTCACTATGTTTCACTATGTTTCAGCCTAAAAGTTGTACAATATGGCTAAATTTGTTAAACAAAGCACATGGAGATTGTTGAGACCATAAAAAGACATACAATTTACAAACTAACTACAGAAACCAACCCAAAAAGTTGCTCGTATAGATTTCCTCCTCTGTATCACCATGAAGACATACATTCTTTATATCTAATTGGAGAGTTCAATGGCAAATGACAACCATGACAAAGAATAGTCAGGCAAACATGTAATACCTTTTAGTTTCTAGATAATAGCATCAATACTCTTTTTAGAAAGGAGAATATCCTTGGAAAAAACATTTGATGGCTCTCACAGATAGTTTGTATCATGGACAAAAACACACATAATCAAAGACATAAGAGAGATATGATAGAGTTCATTTGGAAACATGAGAGTATAGGGAATGTGACTTTTAAGAGAGGAAAATAATATTCTAATTTTGAGGAAGCAAACAACAGTAAGAATAACAACCTAGTGATGAACAAATACACTAACACCAAACAATAAGGAATGAGCAATTCCAACTAAGTCTTTTTTCTTTCTACTATACTATTTTGTTAAGGAATATAAGAACAAGTTAACTTACGTAAAATGTCATCTGAACTTAAAAGAATAGAAAAGTCAAAAAGAGAATTATTATTTGACATATCACCCTCAACATTTTTGATAATTTGACCAAACTTATTTTTCATTTCTTAGTGAGAGGGTTTATGTCAAACTCAACCTTACAGAATAAGGATTACACTCTACTTATATATTATAATTTGACCTTATTTATCGTTAATGTGAAATCTCCAACACATACTCAAGCGAGGAATAATCATTTCGAGCATGTGATTAGATAATTCTGGGTGGTCCAACATGAGCCCAATAGTTTTTGGACAAGAGCCCAGATGAACTTGACCAGAATAGACTCTAACATGACTCTAATAACATCTTAATAAGAGGGTTTATGTCTAACTTAATCTCACAAAACCGATTTATAAAATGAGAATTGCCCCTCACGTATATCTTAGAATTCAGTATTGTTCCTAGTTGTGTGGGATATCCAACAATTTCATTAAGGAAAGACAAATAGAAAACCGTTCATGTCAATCATTCATCATCTAAACCCAAGTACATTGAGAACATCTATCTATAAATGTAATGATGTATCAGAGTTACGAGTTTTGAATACATTGGGTTTCACATACTGCTACAACAAAGCAGAAAGTTGAAAATCCATCTTCCACTGCTCAACTTTGTTACATGATATTTTACTAAAATCCCTTCCAAGTGATCATGGAAGCCTACCAAGGCACCAAAGCTCAACACATGCAAACCAAGAGAAGTAATTTTTTCCATTACACTTTCCTGAAGTAATTGTGGTGGTCCCCAAAAAAAGAGGTGGTAGATCCCGAAGACATTTTGAAGCTAGAAGGTAAACTAGAGGGTCTGAGAGGTGTTTTAAGGGCTGCACTTCAAATGGTAGTGGGAAACTAGAAACAAAGGTTGAAACAAGGACATGGGAGGCTGATAAAACCCACGAAGGAGGCATGATATCACTTCAATGACCACAGGGTGGTGCATGGCTTCAATGTGCCTGGTTGGAGTGTGAAAAGAGGGGGCATGTGGAAGCAATTTAGCCTGTGACTTTTTGGTTTCTCTGTTGCTTGGCGAGATGCACTAGATTTGGTACTCAGAAACTGATGGTGGTCACTGGAGGCAGTTGAAAAAAAACGGAGGCCAGAAACAGTGGACAGTGGACAGTGGGTTCTCTGTTACTTGACGAAACAAACCAAACCCAATGCTCACCAAAAAAAAATAATGGTGATCTGCAGTGGATGCCAACAGCAGGCCACAATTTTCTCATTGGACAGTGAGAGACAGAGGTTGGATTGAATCGCTTTGACATCAACTTGAGAATGAAAATGAGAAAGAATGCTTCACAAATGATTCATCTCTCAGCAAATTCATGTATTATATGAGTCCTTACACCATAGATACAAAAATATATGAAAAGACTGCACTAGGTAATAGATAGGCTCCACAAAACAACCTTTATTTTTCGTATAAATAGACAAGATAATTTAACCTATTCTAACAAGATAAACTATTCTAACACTAACAGGTAAAATGCTCAGAACAAAAAACCAAAGAAGTTTATTATTTTTTTCCATAATATATTTCAAATAAAGAAATTTTACTAACCGTTTGGCAGCTACCACATCAGCCTCGTCAAAGAATATTATACTGGGTGCTGCAAGGCGTGCTCTATGAAATGTTTTCCGAAGTAAAGCTTCCCCCTCTCCAACATACATCGAATACAATTCTGCACCACTAATTCAACATTCATTACTTGTAAATTTTTTCATTATTTGAAAATCATTGGCAAAAAAAAGATGTGAAGAAAAAAATATACAATCACAGAAATCAGAATGTTAATGTTAAACTACAGGAAAGAGAGACATTAAGCTGGAACGGTATGTTCCTGAGACAACACTGATGCTTTATTTATATTGAGAAAAAGGCAGCAATGCAATAAATAGACAAGATTTTATATCCTTTAATAATGAAGCTATGATAGGGGAATAAATAAAAACAGTTCTAATAATACTTAGATAATGTAGATATATATATTCTTGATTATATAAGATTTGCTCCTCATTTCTATAATTATAACAGTTATAGAACTGGAGAACTAGAAATCTAGAATATATCAAAGCATTAGCATCACCAATACAGAAAATAACATAAGTGCTACTTATCAACAGAATGGGTGGGAGATGATAGAGGACAAGGTGTTAACATGACTTTAAACTTTCAAAATAGCTGCCCATAATCTAGTGATATTAGTTTACCCATTTATTAAAGACAATTTATTTTGTTGGATTTCAAGCTAACTTTCGTTCATTCCTTTGGCATGTACCTTACAACTCTTTTTGTTCCCTTTTATGAAAACCATGCATCTAGAATGATTTGGATACTCACTTGAAAAAGATGAATTTATATTCAGACGGAGATCAAAATAATGAGAAGGGTTTGAAAATAGAATAGTGGGTCCTAGCACAGGGGAGTGTCTTTCTCTCTAAAATGATCATCAGTTCCCTAAAACAAGGAAAGGATCCATTTCATGCTAGGCATAAACTTCTGTGTAATAATGCAAAGACCCATTTTCTCCCACACTACAAAGATAAAACTTTAAAACATTAGAAAAAACCTTAAGGAAAAGAAAGATGCTTGGGCAGCATGTGCAGCCGCTTTGGCAAGGGTAGTTTTGGAACATCCAGGAGGCCCATGGAGAAGAATTCCACGTACAGGGGATATTCCTAATCTTGAAAATGCAGCAGAATGCTTAATAGGCCATTCGACAGCTTGCTGGAGTTTTTTCTGTTTATGGACAACAGTATCAATGAAGATTCTCAGTCAAATTCAAATCAAATGCAAATTTTAACAAACCTTTAATTCTTTTAATCCACCAATGTCTTCCCAAGTCACTTTGGGAATTTCCACAGTAACACCTCTTGTTATACTGGGACCAACAACAGACCTCGCATTCTTCCAATCTTTCATTGTTAGACTGAAATTACTAGCATCTTCTGCGTTTGAATATCGTTTAATTGCAATCATGGTAGCTTCACGACACAAAGCCTCCAAATCAGCTCCAACATAACCATTGCACAATGCAGCAATAGACTTTAAGTCAATACTGGGATCCAAGGGAATTGTCTTTGTATACAACTGTAACAAGTTCATATGAAAACCACATAAATCCATGCTGTCACACTTCAGAAATCAAGAATTCAATGAAATAAGCAAAAAATGAAAAGATTTTAACATCGAACTTTCTTCCTAACCAACTGATGTGAGAAATTACACTAACAAAGTTGAGTGGAGGGTCGTGAATGTGAAATTTGTTGAGTGCAGAGCCGTGAATGTGAAATTTGTTGAGTGCAGAGCCGTGAATGTGAAATTTGTTGAGTGCAGAGCCGGGAATGCTTACATATATGCAACCTGTTGTAATTAGAGGAAAATCTTCTTAATTAGAGAAAATATCTATAGAATCTTCCTAATTACCATCCCTATCAAAAGTATTGTATATGGTAAGATGGGAAGAAACTCGAAAAGTTGTCATGCTTGATTGGGGGATCTTCAACACCGGCTCTGCCATGACAACCGGAAAGGGAGTCCAAAAGGGAACAAATGTCGGGGGAAAGTCATTTGAAAAAGGTAATCATGGAGACTATTGTTCATACTGTAAAAGATTTGGACAAACCAAGGAAACATGCTTCAAACTTCATGAAAGAAATAATGTTCTCGAGCGCATGGGAAACAATAAAGGGTCTGCTCAAAGATGGGAAAATCATACTACCTCAAAACAGGAAGCCACCAATCAATCTAATCATTCACCACCACTAGATCTTGATATGAAAGCTTATAAGGAAGAACTCGAATGTTTGAAAGAAATGGTTGATCAATGAGTAAGCCCTCTGGATCATGTACTATGTCCGTGAAAGGTAAGATTTGTCTCAATATTGTTGGCATGTGTCTCAAGGTATTTGGATTCTTGATTCAGGAGCAACTAATCATATGACACCTTTTCGTGTGTCCTTCAACTCATGGTAAAAGAAATGGAGAACAACTTATTACAGTTGTGAACGGCCAAGGTATATCTATATGCGACTCTGGGAATATAATTTTGAACTCATCTATTGTATTAAAGGATGTTTTACATGTTCCACAATTAGCCAATAGTCTTATCTCTTTGCAAAAACTCAGGATTAAAATTGTTCAGTAACATTTTTCTCAACTTATTGTGTTCTTGAGGACCCCTAAACAATAACTACAGGTAAGAGTGTCTTTGCAAGCACATCACCCTCCTAGACTGAGACCTATCAAAGTGAACTGAAGACCTTTAGGCACCTCAAGGCTAATAAAAAAAGACATTGTGGCCATACAAAGGTCATCTCAGTCTTTTAAGAACATTTTGACATCCACCGTGAGATTCAAACCCATGACCACATGGGTGAATCCCTACCAAGAAGTAACTCGTTAATCAAGCCTTCTCAACCCAAGATGTTTTTATTAGCATGTCAATCACCCCCAGAAGAAACTCGTTAATCAAGCCTTCTCAGCCTAGGATGCTTATCATTGCTTTTGCTTTAATTTGGGTCCACACAAATTGAAGGAATAGACTAGAGCAAAACACAATGAGTGATGTTTGTTATGGCTAATTCAAACTTAGTTAAGATGAAAACATGAAAACCAAATCAAATTAGTATTTATGATTGTTCACTTAATGATGAGTGGATTATGGAAGATGAGCATGAGAATAACGAAGCACTGCGTTTGAGTGTAATGAAAACTTGGTTCCAATCAAGTTGGGGAGGATGAAACTATACCTCAACATGATTTAGACATCAGTACCTTAAACGATAAAAGAGATGGAATTGCAAATGATGGAATTAAAGGTTTATATGGAGATTACGAAGTTAACTTGCAAGATTATTTGCTTTAAATGAATTATTATTTTGCAACAAAGATAGAATTATTATTTGGCAATAGGACGGATCTATTGGTTTATTGATTGGTAACTAGTAAGGAGATATTGTTCTATAACTGGGATGGGGTTTTACTATATAATTACACCACATCTGTTGGCTTACTATTTTATATGTTTATTATTGTTGGATATTCCACATCAACTAGAGATATGACCAAATTATAGTATATAAATGAATGCAAACTTTACCTTACAAGCCATTTGTGAGATTGAGTTAGGCTTAAATTTCACTTTCTTATCAAATTCATTTAGTGCCTATCCAAGTCAACTTTGTTGGGGCTATTATGTCACATCACATGCTATCAGGTCCCCCTAGTCCATGTTTGAGATTTCCAATCCTCAGTCTTAGAGAGGTGTTGGATATCCTACATCAACTATAGATATGACTAAATTATAATTAATAAGAAAAGCGCAAACTTCATCTTACAAGTAAATTTTGTAAGATCGAATTAAGTTTAAATTTCACTTTCCTAAGAATTATAGTTTTTGGTTCACGTTGAACTAAAGTTCAATTATGAATTGTAAATCATTTTTCTCTCTTCAGATTGAGATTTTCCACATTAAGATTGAGAACAAGGTAAGGACTCCAAAATACCCTGGTGTGGTATAGTTTAAATAACCAAATCATCATCAAAGAGACAAACTTTATATCACTAAAAGTTACCTTCAGAATTTGATAGCGGTCCTCTTCATTTGGGACAGTAACTTCTATTTCAGCATCAAAACGTCCAGACCTTCTTAGTGCAGGGTCAATTGCATCCACTCTATATGCAGAAACCAGATGCATGAAATTCATCAGAGAAAAACCAGATTAGGTGTAGGTGAATGACTTTAAGCAGTGTTAAGAAATTACCAGTATTACATTATTAAATCCATAGATTTTAAGAAAACATGAAGAGCGCAAGAGATAAATCAGAGGTTCCAGACATCAAAAAATAAAGGAACAAATGTATGAAACAGCACTGTTAATAACCCATCAACATACAGAAAACAACTAAAACCACCCTCTGCTCTTATTGATCCATCAGGAAAAGTACAAGAACTTAAACCAGTCACTGCTCTACTTAATCCATAAACAATAACTTCTTCAATGACATGCTATGAAAACTTTAAAGTAGTGATATCAGACTTCTAAAAACAGTGTACAGGTTCAAAAAGCTGGGCATGTGTGAACATTGAATTTCATACGAGAACCAATTTGCATTCATTCCAAATAATTTATATTTCTAAAGAATCATAAATAATCATTGAGAGCGCAGCAGCTAACCTGTTAGTTGATGCAACAACAACTACGCCTGGTGTAGAATAGGTTGGTTTAATTGAGTCCATCAGTGTAAATAGTTGAGAGGCAAGTCGAACATCTTGTTCCCTTCTGCATGTAGAAAATTTAAAATAATGTCATCAATGAGATTGCCACACGCATAAACAAACCCCTATTAAACGATATACTTACCCTAATAAAACTCAAAAGAATTCACTAGATCCAGGCTCACATGTTTCACTTTATAATATGAAGGCATTGTACAAATGCAACAGAAGTTCAAGACAACTTCATACAGCTAGTCCAGAAATAGCAGGATAATACGTATTATTACTGAAATTCTGCAACTTGCATCGGTATGGTATCAAAAAAAGTGATAAGTTTGTAGGGAATTAGTAGAACTCCTCCACACTCGATAAAAAAAACAGAGACAAAGTATATAGTATATCCAAGATAACTAAAGATGCCCATTCTCTCCTACCCTATCCCAATCTAGTCTTCACCAATCAAAACCTCATATAGAAGTCAAATTTCTAAACAAACAAAAGAAACACATGACAAAGTATGGAAAATCAAGTGCAAGGAAGTCATCTTCTTGTGATTTAAGCTAAGCAGCAACTGATATCATTCTGATAAATTCCCTTCAAAAAGATCAACAAACGAAACTCTTCATTATTATCACTTCATACGCTTGACCTGGAACATCCAACACTAGCCCATTTAATGCAATTGATAACAAAGGAAACTGTTAGGTTCCTAGGTAGAGGAACCCATGAAAACTACTCTAAAACACCCAAGCTCATTGAAAATATCTGGTATTATTGATTCTAGGCACCCAGAATAGGCAGAATGCCTCCAAGGGACAAAGTTCCCTTCACACAGGATACAATGGTTCTATCTATACAATTCTCTAAACAACCAAAAACATTCCTATGCCTACAAAGACCCCCCACTATATAAAGAAAGACTCACTCAACCTAAGAACCCAACTAACAACTAACATTGTAATCTATTTCCACCTATCATACACATTATATCCTATCAGAAACACCATTCTAAAAACTTTTAAATAACTTTTTTAAGGATTGTAACTTTTTATCCATTGAATGATGTTAATATTTCACAGCATTCATGACTATTTTTATTATGCGTGTGTAGAAGGGATCCATTTACTTTTGGAATAACTCTTAGACACTTACCCAGCTTATTATCACGTTATAAATATTAAATTTCATCAACCAAACATTGAATTTTGTCTCGTCATCTCAAAATGACCATGTACACTAAATTTACATAAAGTCAACATTCATAGCTATGTAATCTTATAGTCAATTATACCTTTTTTTTTATTACAATGAAGTTATTTCATAAAGCATCAAATAGATTTAAAATTTAATAAAATTTTGTAAATTTGAGCTACTTGATGAAAATATTCAATTTTACAGTTGGATTCGTGAAATTTAATGTCTACTGCGGTAAGTGGATTAGCCCCCAAATTATATTGACAAAATAACAACCTAGTCAAAATATCAAAGAAAAGATATTAAAATAAAACATTTGAACTACTGAATTATGATGACACTCTACAGACAGACATGCAGGCTACAACCTATCCACAAATCAGGCAAATGTAAAATATTTAGGGCAACACATAACAGATTTAAAACAAGTCAATGAGAGGTAAAAAGATTATAGCAAAGAGAATATAATTTTATGCAAGATTATTATAGTGTTCTCCTGCAGGAGATGTTTTAATTTACATTAGAGAATATCACCATCAAAATTGTGTTCACAGACAAAATTTATCTTATTTAGCATAGCAGTAGGCAATTGTTTCATACTTGGAACTTCGGCGAGCACACAACGCATCTATTTCATCTATAAAGATAACGGATGGCTTGCCCCAGGCTACATTAGATGATGCCTCAGAAAAAGCATCACGGAGAATTCTCTCACTCTCACCAGCATGTGCTCTGTGAACAGTGTGTGGACTGAAAAATACATAAACAGACAAATAATGACAAGCTATGGATTCATGATTCAAGGTCAAAGAACTTCCAAACACTAAATCCGTTAAACTATATTGAAAAGACGAGTACCTGATAATTGTCAAATGTGCCCCACACTCCCGAACAACTGCTCGTACCAAACTTGTCTGAATAAAATTCACCATACAGGCAAAGATATAACTAACTTTACACTTCATAAACCAAGCAAATGTAAGTTTAACTCATAACATGATTGCACCACATTAAGACATGGTTTTTGTTATTTTCATTCATTCCCATTGACAAATCTTGCCTTTATCCCCTCAACAACAGTTCAGGATTTTACCAACATATTGACTATAATTGGTATCTATTAAACTCTGGGGAAGAGAGAAACGCTGAACTGAAACCATGTATTTCTGAGACAGCACAAGTACTTCATTTATATTGAGAAAAAGCCATCAATACAATAAATAGAGAATATTTTATATCCTCTAATAACAAAGATAAGGGAATAAATAAAAATGTTCCTAATAGTAGTGTTGTAAATATCTTCATAATCTTCCTGTAGCTAAAATAAATAGGAAGAGTATGAAGATATTGTTTCCAAATTACAATGGAGATATTGAAAATGTTTTTTATCCTAATAATATGCTATTTATAACATATATAGATGATCAGCATATTCCCGTGTATAGAGGATCCACTCCTTATTTCTATGACTACAAGAGTATATATGTGTTAATAACATGAGCTCTAACCCGAGTACTCATCAGACTGGTCAGTGGATTGTTTGTCAACCAGAGTACCAATCTGTTCCATGTTAAGTTAAAAAGGGATCAGTTTTCAAAAGAAACTACCTTTCCAGTTCCTGGTGGACCGTACAGCAGCAATCCTCTGGACCACTAGAAGGAAACAAAGGAAATTAAAAAAAAAAAAAAAAAAACAGAACAAGACATAGATAAATTGACAGTTATAAAGATCAAGGCCCACTGATTAATAGAAGGAAAAACATAATAAACAAAGGGAAAATTAGAACCTTAAGGCCAAGCTTCTTTGCCTCTTGTGAGAAATGAAGAGGAAATATGATGAGTTCTCTAAGGGCCTGAAGAGCTTCAGCGTTGCCACCAATGGCTTCCTCGGCTCTCCAGTGATTGTTGTCACTGCTGTTACTGGTACAGCTTTCCATCTCTGCACACATAAGATGGCTGAGAGTGGATAAGTCCAATGAAGCTCCGGCCTTCGACCCGCGCTTCCCCGCTTCGGAAGCGGTCCGGACACGTATCGGGAACGTCCAAAAGCGCTGGAGTTAACACGGCGGACACAGAATAGACTTGAAGGAGAAGAAGAGTTTGAAAAAGCCTAACTTTATTTTCTTATTAATTTAATAAGTTTCTTATTATCTATATATATAAAAAATAATACACTCCTTTTATATATATTTTGTTTAATTTTATCTTCTTAATTACTATTTTTTATTTAAATAATTATTTATAATAAAAAATATTTTTCAATTTTATCATTGTAGTAGTAATTTTTAATCTTTTATAATTTATATATCTGTATATAAAATGGTATATTTTTGGTGTTTTTTTTGCAATTTTATTTTTTTTAATTACTATTTTCTAAATTTAAATAACTAAATATAACAAATAATTTACTTTATTATTTTAGTAACTACTTTTTTAAATTCAAACAATAATTATAATAATATAAAAATATTAGTAAATTTATCTTATTTGTTTTGATAAATTTTTAATTATTTAATATTTTTTATTCATATTTATTTTATTGTAATGTGTAGATAAAATTTAGTTTACTTTTTTATTTATTTATTTATTTATTTCATTTATTTTGTTATTACACGTACATAAAATTTATTTCACCTTTTTATCCATTTATTTTATTTTTGAATTAATTTGTCTATATTACTTTTTTATTCTTAATTTATACTTTTATAATTTCTAATCAATTGATTATTTAATAAATTATTAAAAACGGATTATATTTAAAATAAAAAAATTATACTATTTTTTTCATTTTTAGTTTATATTTTTATGAATTATAATCATTTAGTCATTATTAAAATTAAATTTACAAACAAATAAGTCATTATTAATAATACAAATTGTTTATATTATTTAAAACCTATTTACTGTATAAATAGTAATATATTTCAATTTTATTTTTAATAATTAATAAATTATTATTTTAAATTTTTAAATAATCTAATTATTTTTTCACATTTGAAGTTTTTATATCAATCTCTAAAATTTACTTGTTACCTTTTTTATATATACCCATTTAAAAAAGGTTCACGAATATTTTAAAATCACTGTATTCATAGATATGTATTAATATATATATATATATATATATATATATATATATATATATATATATATGTGTATAAATATTTTAAAAAGAAATGTTTTATAAATTTTTAAAATAAAATTAGAAAAATATAAATTAAATTAAATTAAATATAATTAAAATTTAATTTTAATTAAAATTACTTAATAAAATATAAATTAATTTTAATTTTAATTTAATTTAATTTATTAAAATATAAGTTAAATTTTAATTTTAAGTTTTTATGTATAATAAATATCCATATACCATATCAACCTATTTATAAACTAAACTAATATTAATATACTCGTTACTCATTAATTACATATATATCAATTATACACCCAAACTACGACACCTATTTTTGTGACCTCTATTCACAGTCATTCCAGAAAGAAATTAAAATTAAAGAAGCATGTGACATCCTAAGAGTAATTTCTAATGTAAAGAATTATAAGCAATTTAATTCTACAGCTATTTGGGAAGTGAAATAAAATAGATAAACCGAAAAATATCAAGTGTGGGGAGAATCATCCTCTATGTTTCAAAAACCTCACACTCCTTAGAACTAATGTGGAAAGTGATGAAAGGCATACCAGAAATGACTGAATCTCTACTATTGTATATTCATTAAATTCTGACCCTAATTGTCTATTAAATATGTCCATGCGTGTTATCATAATAGTATAAATGAGTGAAAGAAAAAGAAAAGATAAATAGAGTAAATAACAAATAATTTTTTTATTAAATAAAAAAAAGGAAAGGGAGTTTGATGTTTACTTTATTTATTATTGTATAAAAAACAAGTGTATGGATAGAGGGAGATGGGTTGGATATTGGTATACTAAGCAATGGTTGAGAAGGGTTAATTTATTAGGTTATAGAAGACGGTTTTTATTTATTTATTAAGCTAGAGTATTTGTTTTCTAATTTATCAAAATGGTCAATTTTTAAAAAATTACACATATGGTTACGTGTCAGTTTTGTACTTCATTTTGAATAAGTACTATTAGAATGACAAGACTTTAAAATAAGACAATTTTAGGTTGTAGTCTCAGATGATATAACTTTAGTTTAATGTATTTTAAATTGAAATAACATTAGGATGACATGCCTTCGACTTTAAAAATGTTTTAAAATGATTTTTTTTTATGATTTTTTCTCAGTCACTTTAACAACTTACCCACAACCGTAATCTTTTTATAAAGTGTCCATTTTGATGAATTTTAAAAAAAATACACTACTTTTGGTAAAAAAAACTATAGAAGGCAAGGCCATTTCACTAAAACAAATCAATTTGTCCCCATATGCTTTTGCCAGGTCAATGACAACCTAAATAGTTTATGATGAGATCCCTATTTATGATGAGATGTTTATTTTGTGACATGCAAGTTCAAATAAAAGGATCTTATATAAATCCTAAGAAATACATTCAAGTCAAACCAATTCATGATTAATAGCTAGCCCTCCAGGCATTACTTGCTGGACTATGAACACTGTTTTGGAAACAGCATTGTTTGGAAGAGTAAATTATTACCCTTATTTGGTTAATACATTTTTTATTCTAGTACAATAGTCCGAGAACCCAATTTAGTTCACAGTTAAATAAGTGAAAAGAGAGGAAATGACAAATAAAAGATGACAAATGTCGAACAGTATGCAAAACCCTTTAGCTCCCGATGTAGTTACAGTGAAACTAGCAGTTATCCAATTGCATACATGAGTTTGAAAGAAATTTCTTTGTTCATGTATGATTTCCCCAAATTACTGGCCAACAAAATACGGCAACATGAGTCGTATAAGTTTCTACATTAAGTGAAACGATGCTTGCCCTTTTTTTTCCTATCCATTAAAGCAGTACATGGTAACTAGCCGCAAAACCAAACCAGTAATCACCAATTGTTATCAAAACTGGCCCTTCAGTTAACGTTCTACAGCAGGCAATTATCATACAATGTCGGGAATATTTTGACAATCTGCATATTGATCAGGATTGAAATCTAAGCAGGCAGATATTATTTTCCAAATGCAGAAGTGCTCAAGTACGTTTGCATACAGTTTTCTTTTAAAATGTCTACCAGTCAGTCACCAGACTTTTAAGAGATAAAGAGTCACAAAACAAGGAATTCAGAAATACATTAAGTCAGCGGCGACGAAATGAAGGACCAGCAAAAGAGTAACGAGAAGAAACTGGGGCGCGTGAAGCTTCCAACTTGTCTCCATGATATGACCGCCGAAGATGATCAGACAAAGCATCAGGTGCAGCGTAGATTGGGTAATGCCTATCTCGTTCAGCCTCTCTCCTTGGCAAGTTATCCGTCCCAGCAAAAGGTCTTCGCCCAACCAAGTAAGAGTTTTCCTCCCTGCTTAAAGATCCCAAATATGCATCCCTAGGAGGTGAAACACCATGGCGATAGACATGATAAGGATCCCTACTCTCGTTCAAAAACAGAGAATCCCTACTGTCATTTAAATAAAGATGATCAGGCCGAACACTTTCTACATGAGCAGGAACATTTCTTGGGTAGCCATGCTCCAGGTGACGGGGTTGATAGTCTCTATCATAAGATTCTAACATAGGATTAACATGAGATGTTGTAGCCACACTCCTTCTATATCTTGGTAGACCATATGCTCGATTGTTCTCCATTGCAAACAGATCATGAGCAATTTCCTCTTGTTGGTCAAATTGATGATCTCTATTGAGAGACTGCACGTTATAGTTTTCCCTCTGCAACCGGGACCATGATCCCCTAACATTGTCGGGAGATTCCCTATCTCGAATTATTAACTTTGGCTGGGAGTGGACAGGGCGCACAGCTGAACGAATTTCAACTGGTCGGAAAAGTTGAGTGAGCTTCCTCACCTGACAGAATATTTCAAATATCATTCATCATAAAAAACAATAGAAACAGAAATACAGACATGCCACCGGAGGTAACGTTTGATGCTTACTTGTCTAACGGTAAGTTCGGTTCTGAACTTGTTTTTTTCATTATAATTATCCTTGATGGCTTTTTTGAAAATGCTCTCGGGTAGTGGGAAACAATCACCAGCAATTTTGAACCGCACCTGAAGGTGGCAGCCATCAGCAGATAGATACAAAACAACATCAGACTAATTGGACAGGAAAATGAAAGAAAGTAACCTGAGCAGGAAATTTGCCACCAAAAGCTTTGGGTTCAAGCTTCATGCCACCAGAAGATGAAGCCTTGTAAATACCATACAGTAGCTTCAGATCAAAATCATAAAGAAAAAGCTTAAGCCCAGGTCTGATTTGTAAAACATCATCCTTTTTACCAGCCGAAACACCCATGACTCGATAGCGAAAACAATCAGGCTTTGTCTTTGCATTGCACATAAAGATGAAACCACCAAGCTTTTCAGCCTTCTTGTCATTTACTTGACTCCTTTCCATGTCACTTCTCCTAACTTTGTTTCTTATACTCCTAGAACCCTTGCTTGAGTCCCTATGCTTCTCTTCACCCTCTAGATTTTGCTCAGTCTTATCCAACTGACTAGTCTTATCTTTACGAGCCTGTCGGATCTTCTCCCTACGAGTTTTGCCATTGGTGCTCCTGTTTTGGCTTTCTGTTACTTTCTTTTCAACCTCCCGACTCTTCCCCTTCGGTGGTTCATTATCAGTTTCCTTCAGGTGGCTACTGTCTGAAATTTGTTTCTCATCTGCATTATCCAACACGTCTTTGGAAATACTAATTCTTCTTTTGCCATGAATCTGCTGAGTGCCACTGTTCTTCTTAGCCTTGAGTTTACCAGCCTGAGATTTCTTAACAATTTTAGATTTTGCCTTCAATGATTGTGGAGTATTCTTGTTACTCAACTCTGGTTTACTAGATCCTTCAGGAGGATCAGTAACCTTCAGTTGGCTACTGTCTGACTCTTCCTTCGGACTTTTGTCGGCAGTGCTCTTATTTTGGCTTTCTTTTATTTTATTTTCAGCCTCCTCACCCTTACCCTT